AAGTTGAGGAATGAGAATGAAGACGACTGGTCAAAGAGAAGGGGCTCAAAATGTACGTATTGGTAAAAGTGAAAAAATATACCAATGGCAGGAGTATAAGAGGGAAAAAAATTAATTAATTAATTTTTAATATTGGAAAATATATCAACTAATTAATGTATCAAGAATAGAGAATTAATGAGTGTACGTATAATACAATTCAAAAGTTAATTTTTAGGGTGTATTATATATGTGGGTTGCGGATAGAAATAAAGATAGCAATAGGCTAGTCAAACAAAAGGAACTTGAAATATAGTGGTCAGCTATGTGGAGAAAAATACCGATGGTAAAATTGTATATGTATATACTCATGTTAGATGAAAAAGAGAAAAAAGTTAACCAATTAATCTTTATAAGTTATCGACCAATATATCAACTGACACATTAATAAATCAATGAAGATCATATTTATCTCCATGTGCCTCCATATATGTTGCCGAAGATGAAGGTGTCTTCTTCTTCTATCAATGGCAAGATCAAGAGTCTCTAGATGGAGACACTTTCAATTTTTTTATTTTAATTTTACAATTTAAATAATAAATATCTACACCATTCCATATAGAAATGGATTACATGTTCGGTAAGCACTTAATACACTTTGTAAAACTAATATATCTTATTATTTTTATTAAGAAAATTCTTAATTGTATTGTGCCAAACAAAGTGGATATACCAAATGCGGATATTATGTAATGAAATTCATGTTCGAAATTATTTCCAAGAATTTGTTTAAACGAATGGATAAGGCAAGTAAGTTAATAAAATGTCTTTCTTCTTTAATTTTCTTTTTTTAAATAATAGCTTATTTATTATTTATCACTTATCAAATTTGTAGATCTTCGAGAGATTTGGAAGATTGCCCTACAATCAACAAGAGATTGATGAAGTTAGAGACATATGTTCAAGCTTCTTATTGATGAATTGGTTAATACAATAATTTTTTAGTACATTAAAATGATGTCGTATCATTTATTTATTACGTCTCTCAAAAATGACGTCGAAGAAAAATCGATGTCGTATATCTCAAAATTGACATTAAAAGTGTTATTTGTAGTACTGAATATAAAGACAAAATGTTATCATAGATACGTGATAAATAACTAAGTAATCACATATTAGGATTTAGGTATAAGAAATATCTTTATTACAAATAGAATTATTGATATTAATTACCAAGCCAAATTGCCCAGATGCATATTGTAGTCAAAGTGGATGTATATTTGTTTAAACAATTTAGACTATACAAGTGGGTATATATATATATATATATATATATATATATATATATATATATATATATATATAGAGGAGTGATCACATGTGGCCATGTTGTTAGGTGTGGTTATATGCTCAATTATAGACCATTAGATTAGATAGATCTAATGAATCATATTAATCAAGATTTTTTCAGCATTTTCGCGCACATTCTTCTACCCAGCGAACTGTAAGGGTAAACTTGTAATAAAATACCGAAATAAGGAAAATCACATTGTTGTGTGTTTTATTACACTATTGGTGCATGTTGTCAACACTGTTGGTGTATTCTGGAACTCGACCGCTATAAATGGCCACTGTAATTACCATAACACGGGAATACACCATTGGTGTGTTTCACTATGGTGTGTTTTATTACACTATTGGTGTATGTTGTCAACACTGTTGGTGTATTCTGGAACCCACCCGCTATAAATGGTCATTGTAATTACCATAACACCCCCACTTACTAAAACGCGCGAAAATCCTCAGAATTACCACAGCCTTTAGATTAAACTGATTCAACGACACAGATACGACCACACGACCACACCTAATAACATGACCACATATGAGCGTTTTTCTATATATATATATATATATATATATATATATATATATATATATATATATGAACTAATACATATTTTAAGTGGAGTGAGGTTTGGAGATGAGCAGACCCTCTTGCAAAATGAATCGTCAAATAATTGCCTTATATATTTTTTGACAACGAATTGAATCATGATAAGGTAAATGTTATGGAGATCAAAAGTTATCGTAGAAAAGTGATAAATAACCAAGTTATCACCTACTGGGTATAAGAAATATTTTTATTAAAAAATAGAATTATTGGTATTAATTAGCTAGGAAGCCAAATTGCACAGATGCATACATATATATATATATACATATATATATATATATATATATATATATATATATAGGCAAAGTAGATGCATGTATAAAGTCGTCGTTGCATTTGCTAACGTCTCTACGTGGCATATGACATGCAATGGTTCCTTTTTTACCACGTCGAACATTATCATATGAGTTCTACTATTCTACTTCATCAATTATACTTTTGATGTGACAAGTATGAATAGAACATTTTCATCTTGAGAATCCAGAAAAAGTTGTTTACATTCAAGATTTGTGAAAAAGAGTAAAAGTTGAGAGTACAAGTAGTATTCTTGAGTTTTTTGCACTTTTGATCCCACGACTATAGTGTCACTAACAACTTTGATCCACGACTTTTAAAACTTGTAGAATTGGTCCACGATTATGACTTAACAAATTTGGTCCTCCCGGTGCATTTTCCGTTCAATTTTTGCTGAAAAATTTTACTCCCCATTTAACATGGGTAATATTATATTTTCCATCTCACAAACTAATGACATAAATAAAGAAATAAATTAATTAATTAATTAATTAAACACAGCCAGGGGTACGGTGATTGAAATTAAAAGTCACCCAATTTCAATTCCACTTTCAGTTTCACCATCCTCGCTAAACGCCAAAATTTTTTAGTTGTTTATTTATTTATTTATTTATGTCATTAGTTTGTGAGGTGGAAATGACAATATTACCCATGTTAAAATGGGGAGTAAATTTTTTCGGCAAAAATTGAACGAAAAATGCATCGGATGGACCAAATTTGCAAAGAAAGTCATAAATTGTGGACCAATTCTACAAATTTTAAAATTCATGGATTAAAGTTGTTAGTGACACCATGGTCGTGGGACCAAAAGTGCAAAAAACTCTAGTATTTTTTATTATATAATGAGTTTTACTATATGGAGGGACTCTCTATTAATTTTTCTCCCTCATCTTCGTCTGGTTGGTCATAAGAAAAATGTCAACATCAAAATTTTGTGAGATAGGATAAAAGTTGGAAATAAAAGTAGTATTTTCCTTATATAATTAAGCATGGTAACGGTCTAAGTTGAGGAATGAGAATGAAGACGACTGGTCAAAGAAAAGGGGCTCAAAATGTAGTGGTAAATAAAAGTGAAGAAATATACCTATGCTAGGAGTATAAGAGGAAAAAAAATCAAATAAATAAATAATTAATTTTTAATATTGGAAAAGAGAATTAATGAGTGTACGTATAATACAATTCAAAAGTTAATTTAATGAAGTACAAAGAGTCAATAACACGTCAGATTCGATCTCATAACTTCCCACATAGAAAAGGTCACTACATGCCATCTAAGTACAAGGTGCTTGGTAGAAAGTAATATATATATATATATATATATATATATATATATATGTGTGTGTGTGTGTGTGTGTGTGTGTGTGTGTGTGTGTGTGTGTGTGTGTGTGTGTGTGTTGTGTGTGTGTGTGTGTGTGTGTGTTGTGGATAGAAACAAAGATAGCAATAAGTCGAACAAAAGAAACTCGAAATATAGTGGCACTAGCTAAGTGAAGAAAAATACTAACCTTAAAATTATATGTGTATACTCATGTTACATTGAAAAGAGGAAAAAATTTAACCAAATTACTACACACGAAAATAAAATTAGACTTAATTAAACTCAAAAAAGATGTAATTGGGTCCCTGAATAATGCAAAATGATGCAATTGAACCAAAAGTGGCATGTTTACCTATTAGTTTGTTGACGTGAAGGTTATCATATGAAAAAAAAATAATTTTTTTTATTTATTTTAATAATTTTAAATAACAAAATAAAATTAAAAAAAAAAAAAAAAAAAAAAAAAAAAAAAAAACAAGATCTCTTAGTTTCCATGCCGGGGTCTCTTCATTTCCAAGCCGGGGAAGACCGGTTCTTCGTCTCCGGAAGCCTGGAGATGAAGCACGGAAAGTTTTTTTTTTTTTTTTTTTTTTTTTTTTTGTAATCTAAAATTATTAATAAAATAAAAAAATTACTTTTTTTTTAATATGATAACCTCCACGTCAGCAAACTATCAGGTCACCAGGTCACTTTTGATTCAATTGCATCATTTTGCGTTGTTCATGGACCAAATTATTATTATTATTATTATTATTATTATTATTATTATTATTATTATTATTATTATTATTATTATTATTATTATTATTATTATTTAGTTCATTGACCTAATTGCATTTTCGTATGTAGTTTTTTTTTTTTTTACTTATTTGACCCTTATTTGATTCATATTTATCTACATGTGCCTCCACACACACACACACACACACACACACACACACACACACACACACACATATATATATATATATATATATATGTTACCAGAGACGAAGTTCTCTTCGTCTTAAATCAAAGACGAGATCAAGAGTCTCTACATTGAGATACTTTCAATTTATTTTTATTTTTTATTTTTACAATTTAAATAATAAATATCAACTCCATTCCATATAGAAATTTATTACCACATAATAATTCACATATGCACACAAGATAGACAACTAAGCCTAGAACAAGGTAAATTGGTTATTTTGTTTGATTGTGTGAATTTGACTAGTCCAGAGAGTTGATTGTAAGTGTTTTTAGTTGTGTAGTACAATCACATTTCATGTATAACTTAATGGTTTATTATTTAATAATTTCCTTTGTTGTTTTTATAACTAATCAATACATCAATTAAAACTTACATCTAAAAATAGAGATTAGATAAAAGTCTATATAATATAACTCAAAAGTTAATTCCTAGGTTCCATGCATGGCATGCCTAAGAGAGAAATAACACATTTGCTAGGTCGATTATCTCACCATGCAACTATATACACCAAAGTCTACTTCCTGAAGACTATAAATACCCCAACACCTTTGCCCTTCCAAAACCACAAAGCCTAATACTCAACACATTGATATTGAAAGAAACGAGGTGAGAAATGGCAGATATTGAAAGCCAACGTAGTTATAATGTTGGAGGAGAAAAAACATTTGCCATTTCTTCGTCGAATGATTCTCCAACTGATGGTGTCGGCGGCTTTGACTTGCCGGTGGATTCCGAGCACAAGGCAAAAGCCATCAAAATCTTCTCTTTTGCTCAGCCCCACATGAGGTCTTTCCACCTTTCATGGATGTCCTTCTTCACCTGCTTCGTATCCACCTTCGCCGCCGCTCCCCTCGTCCCCATCATCCGGGACAACCTCGACTTGACGAGGAGCGACATCGGAAACGCCGGGGTGGCCTCCGTTTCCGGCAGCATATTCTCCAGGCTCGCCATGGGCTTCGTCTGCGACCTCATAGGCCCGCGATACGGCTGCGCGTTCCTCAACCTCCTCACGGCGCCGGTGGTTTTCTCGGTCGCGTTCGTCTCCTCCGCGCCCGGGTTTGTCGCCGTCCGGTTCCTCATCGGCTTCTCGCTCGCCACCTTCGTGTCCTGCTCCTTCTGGACCAGCACCATGTTTAACGGCAAGATCATTGGGCTCGTGAACGGCGTCTCCGCCGGGTGGGGCGACATGGGCGGCGGTGCTACTCAGCTCCTCATGCCTTTCCTTTTCCAATTGATTATACTCGCGGGAGCAACACCGTTCACGGCGTGGCGTATCGCCTTCTTTATCCCCGGATGGCTCCATATTATCACCGGAGTCATGGTCTTAACCCTTGGCCAGGACTTACCCGATGGTAACCTTAGTGCTTTGCAAAAGAAGGGTGACGTTGTCAAAGACAATTTTTCTAAGGTTAGTTTAATTTGTTCATATTGACATGACCTGTGGAATACGGATCAATCTAATATGATCTTACAGCAGATCAATCTAATATAACTTAATGAACTATTTAACTTATAACGCAAATTTCAGTCACTAATAAGTTTTTTAATGCTCTATAATTAAAAATTAAAAAGATATCTAACTATCTCAACAAGTCATTTGTGCACTATTCCATAAGGTGATTAACTATTCAATCTTTTATATAAATATATTATACTTTTCCTCATAAGTATTACAATTCTTTTATAGTAACTCTGATCTTTAACTTTTAATATTACATTTCTCATATAAAAAAAAAAGGTTACATTTTTTCCTTATAAATATTACACTTTCGAGTAACAATCCATCAAGTTATCATTTATTAGTATTACATTTTTTCCTCTTAAATAACTATTCAACTCCAAAATATTACATTTTTTCTTCAAAAATATTATATTAAATTTTTTCTTAGTACTCCATAACAAACAATTTATTCCTAATTAATATTACAAGTATTACATTTTAATATTGACCTGACTTGTGGAATAAGGATCTGTGAGACAATCTGATATAATCTTACAGAAGATTAGACTTACCTTTTTTATTTAATGGACTATTTAACTTATAAGGCAAATTCCAGCCACTAATAAATTTTTAATTTAATTCTCTATAATTAAAAATCATAAAGATATAAGGTTCACCCTATGATGGAATAGCACATGCATAATTACTTCAAATTAATGAGTAGATTACTAGCTATCTCAATAAATCATTTGAATTGTGCACTATTCCATAAGGTGATTTGAAGGAAGAAATTTCCTTCTTGCATTGAATTGCCAAATTAGGTACCAAAGACATTATTAATCATTCTCTTGCAAATGAACATTAAACTCAGCTAACTAACTAATTTGTTCTTTTGGCCGGTTTTAGGTGTTCTCGAACGCTGTGAAAAATTACAGAACATGGGTTTTCTTCTTTCTCTATGGCTTCTCAATGGGAGTTGAGCTTTGCATAAACAACATGATCACAGAGTACTTCTTCGACAGGTTTGATCTGAAGCTTCAGACCGCAGGGATAATAGCGGCGTCGTTTGGCATGGCCAACTTCTTCTCCCGCCCGTTAGGTGGCTACTCCTCCGACATGGCGGCAAAGAAGTTCGGCATGAGGGGGAGGCTATGGGTGCTGTGGATCGTCCAAACCCTCGGCGGACTGTTCTGCATGTGGCTGGGCCGAGCCAATACCCTTCCTGTCGCCGTCGTCGCCATGATCCTCTTCTCCCTTGGAGCCCAGGCGGCGTGCGGTGCCACGTACGGCATCATCCCCTTCGTGTCACGGCGGTCGTTGGGGCTCATCTCGGGGCTGACCGGCGCCAGAGGCAACTTCGGCGGAGGGTTAACGCAGCTGCTGTTCTTCTCCAGCTCGAAATTCTCCACGGCTGCGGGGCTGACGTGGATGGGCGCCATGGCCGTCGCCTGCACGCTCCCTGTCGCGTTCATCCATTTCCCGCAGTGGGGAAGCATGCTTTTTCCGGCGTCCAAGAACGAGAGTTACAGCGAGGAATATTACTACGGGTCGGAGTGGAACGAGGAGGAGAAATCGAAAGGTTTGCACCATGGGAGTCTCAAATTTGCAGAGAACAGCCGGTCGGAGCGCGGCAAGCAACGGATTTCTTCCGTGGCAAGTCCACCCAATATTATCACCCCAACCCGTGCTTAGTTAACTAATTAAACTAAATTAATCAATAAGCTCCGTACGTGCATGTGCTGCATTAAATTAAGGTTACGTTGATAGGTAAAAGTGTAAAACAACCAAGAAATGTTAGTTCTTATTAGCTATACTAATTTTTTTTTTTTTTTTTTTGAAATAGTTCTTAGCTATACTTTACTGTGTACTTTTTAGAGATCCATGTGACAATTGACAAACAACACAACGACACCCATTATTAAAGTATGTTGTGCACTTCCTCATAACAAATTACGGTTTATGATATGATAATTGGAGAATTCATTTCAGCAATATATGATGAATTGTACTACACATGTCCCGGTTATAAGGTTTTAAATTTAACTCTTTGTATGAATAGTTTATTGACATCTTTAGTTTGAACCTACAACCTACCGAGTATAAGTAACTTAAGTTGATTTGTGGTCTTTTATCCAAGATTTTTTTTTTTTTTTTTTTTTTTTTTTTTTTTTTTGTGAATGCTTATCCACGATTAAATTTTTATAAATCAAAGGAATTGTGAAAGTCAAGACTATATTTTCCTAATGGAGTAAATACCACCTATGGTCCCTCGAGTTTGGTGGCCTCGCCATCAATGGTCCCTAACTTTCGTAATTACCTGCCGTCATCCTCCGAGTTGCGAATAATGGCCTTCAAGGGTCTTACCGTCAGTTGTTCCCGTCTGAGACGTCAAAATGGAGGGCAAAAGAGTCATTTGACTTTATGCGAACGTTTTAATGCCTTTAACAATTATAATTACTTTTAGATATTATTATTACCACTTATATTATTATTATTATTATTAATAATTTCCTTTCAAGTTCTGTTAGTATATAATGGCTGTGAGGCACAATAATAATATAATTATAATTAAATATTCTTGTATTCTACTCCGTGAGTCACAATAATAATATAACAATAATTAAATATTCTTCTATTCTATATTCTTCTAGGATTTCTATTACCATCATTAATTATTCCCTAATTTACCATAATTAAATAATTTGATCAATTAGAAAGAGATATTGTTAAATAATGCACGAGACGATTTTTTAATTAAAAATGTTTAAAAATTCATTAATAAAACATAAGGTTCTCATAGTTTTTTCTTAGAAACTATGTAATGAATCATTTTTTTGAGAAATTTGTAGGCCAAACCGCCTACGACAGTTTGCGGTGGATAGATCTCACAAAAATAAGCGATTTAAAAAAAATGTCCAAAACGGACAACAAAAGTTATGCCTTTCCGAACTTTTGACACTTTACAACTAAAAAAATATAAATAAAAAATTAATCTCCGGTTGAGCCGGCTAGGCGATCTAGGCGGCCGCCTAGACCGCATAGCGGCGCCTAGGAAAGTATAAATCAATATATTTTATTAGCAAGAGAGATTTTTTAGGATTTGTGTGGGAGGTTAAAATTCAGGATTTTGTTTTTATATATAGTACAGATTATAATAGGAATTGTATTACACATTTTTATAATATTAGAATAGAATTTTAATCCAGAATTATAGTACGAATGGAAAATTATAAATCAATATATTTTATTAGGAAGAGAGATTTTTTAGGATTTGTTAGAATAGAATTTTAACCCAGAATTATAGTACGAATGTGAAAGTATAAATCAATATATTTTATTAGGAAGAGAGATTTTTTAGAATAGAATTTTAACCCAGAATTATAGTACGAATGTGAAAGTATAAATCAATATATTTTATTAGGAAGAAAGATTTTTTATGATTTGGGCGGGAAGTTAAAATTCAGAATTTTTTTTTTTTTATATATAGTATAGATTATAATAGTAATTGTATTACACAATTTTATAATATTAGAATAGAATTTTAACCCATAATTATAGTATGAATGAGAAAGTATAAATCAATATATTTTATTAGGAAGAGAGATTTTTTAGGAATTTAGCGGGAAGTTAAAATTTAGTATTTTTTTTTATATATAGTATAGATTATAATATGAATTGTATTACAGAATTTTATATTATTATAATAGAATTTTAACCCACAATTATAGTACGAATGTGAAAGTATAAATCAATATATTTTATTAGGAAGAGAGATTTTTTAGGATTTGGGCGGGAAGTTAAAATTCAGAATTTTTTTTATATATATAGTATAGATTTTAATAGGAATTGTATTACACAATTTTATAATATTATAATAGAATTTTAACTTAGAATTATAGTACGAATGGGGAGGTATAAATCAATATATTTTATTAGGAAGAGAGATTTTTTACGATTTGGGCGGGAAGTTAAAATTCAGGATTTTGATTTTATATATAGTATAGATTACACTTTCTTGTAAGAATCAATCAAGTTATCAATAATTAGTATTACATTTTTCACATAAATAACTATTCAACCCCTAAATATTATATTTTAATTTGACTCTTTGTGCTTCATTAGGTTGAGAAAGTAGGCTTGAACAGATATTACAATGTAATTGAGTCAGTAGCATTCAAAAAAAAAAAAAAACTATTCAACCCCAAAATATTACATTTTAATTTGAAAGTATTACAATATTTTCCTCAACAATATTACATTTTTCCTTAGTACTCTCTAAGAAACAATTTATTCTTGATTAGTATTACAGCATAAGTATTATATTTTCTTATTGACCTAACCTATAGATAAAGATTCGTGAGCCAATATGATCTGATTTTACAGCAGATTAGACTTGCCTTTTTTTCTTTATTTATTTATTTATTTATTTAATGGAATATTTAACTTATATCTTGGGTTCCAGTCAAAAAGTTTTTAATTTAATGCTCTATAATTAAAAATCATAAAGATACAAGGTTCACCCTATGATGGAATAGCACATGCATAAGTGCTTCAAATTAATGAGTAAATTAGTAGCTATCTGAACAAGTCATTTGAATTGTGCACTATTCCATAAGGTGATTTGATGGAAGAAATTTCCTCCTTGCATTGAATTGCCAAATTATGTACCAAAGACATTATTAATCAATCTCTTGCAAATGAACATTAAACTCAGCTAACTAACTAATTTGTTCTTTTGACCGGTTTTAGGTGTTCTTGAACGCTGTGAAAAATTACAAAACATGGGTTTTCTTCTTTCTCTATGGCTTCTCAATGGGAGTTCAATGGGAGTTGAGCTTTGCATAAACAACATGATCACAGAGTACTTCTTCGACAGGTTTGATCTGAAGCTTCAGACCGCAGGGATAATAGCGGCGTCGTTTGGCATGTCCAACTTCTTCTCCCGCCCGTTAGGCGGCTAGGCCTCCGACATGGTAGCGAAGAAGTTCGGCATGAGGGGGAGGCTATGGGTGCTGTGGATCGTCCAAACCCTCGGCGGACTGTTCTGCATGTGGCTGGGCCGAGCCAATACCCTTCCTGTCGCCGTCGTCGCCATGATCCTCTTCTCCCTTGGAGCCTAGGCGGCGTGCGACGCCACGTATGGCATCATTGATGAAGCAGCAAGACACACAGCCTAACAAGCAAAGAATGAAGCTGCATGAGGCTGCCTGACCTGCTTACCTGTTTTTATATCAAAAGGGCTTTTATGTGTTTTCCATTCTTTCCTATTGTAACCGTTTCATAACTGCTTTGTATAAGTAGTGTTGTTATCTGTTAGAAGGAAGAAGTTCTTCTTCTTAACAGCTACACCCAAGTTCTGTAATCATATCATCATCAATGCAGCTCTACTTTCCTTTTGCTTTGCTCCTGTGATCAGGCTGTTCGAAATGGTATCAGAGCGCGGCAACCGGAGCTATGCCGGAGCAGTCGTGATGGGAGCAGATGGCAACGGAAGCACGTCGGAACATCCACGAATCTCTGCGACTCCAATTCATCAAACACAGAGGAACGATGAGTTCGATGATCCTCTGTACTTACATATCACGGAGAATCCAAGCTTGTGTCTCGTGTCTCCTCCGTTATCTGAGCTCAATTACGCCTCCTGGAGTAGATCCATGAAGATCGCTCTAGAGGTGAAGAACAAATTTCAATTCGCAATCGGAACTATTCCGATGCAGGTAGAGAATGATCCGAAGCTGGCTTCGTGGAAGAGGTGCAATCGTATTGTCTATTCGTGGATGCTGAAATCCGTCAATCCTAGCATCGTCGAAGGTGTGATGTACTTTGACAAAGCATCAAACATATGGAGTGCATTGCGGAAAAGGTATTCACAGTCTGATCCACACAAAATTGCTGAAATACAGACTGAGATTTTCAAGTGTGTCCAAGGAAGTTTGTTAGTAAATGAGTATTTTACAAGAAGCAATGCTCTATGGCAACAATTGAACGACCTGAGGCCTATGCTGCTGTGCGAGTGTCTACCTAGATGCTCCTGTAAGTTGGTGGATAGAATGAAGAAACAGAAAGAAGAAGATCAGATAATACGTTTTCTTGAAGGGTTAAATAAAGAGTATGAAAGTATTAAGTCTGGAATCTTGGTTATGGATCCAATTCCAGAAATAGAAAAGGTCCTCAATATGACTCTAAAAGTTGAAAGGAAGATAAAGGCCTCCATCTGTCAAAAGAGCAGTGACCTTATTCAGTCTAATGCAAGTCAGACATGCACTGGAGAGGAAGAAACAGTAGTGGCAGCCACAACATTCAATAATAATAAGAAGTTTACAAACAATGGAGGAAGAAATGTACCAAAATGCACTTATTGTAACATGCTTGGACACACAGTTGAGAAGTGCTATAAGAAGCATGGATATCCTCCTGGTTGGGTTGCAGGATATAAATCCAAAAACAGGCAATCTCAGGACACACAACACTCGGAAAATGCCACTGTGAATCAAGTAGGTGACATTGGTATTTCTGCTGACCAATTTCAAAAATTAATCTCTCTTTTGCAGAATCAAAGCAAGGGAAATCCTTCTTCAAGTAATGCTGCTGCTGTGACTGTCCACACTCCTGGAATTAAGGCAAATTTCAGAGATTCTGAGGGAACTATCCATGAAGGTATCTCTATCTCTAATCCACATATTATTGCTGCACTGAATTCATATGATGTCTGGATATTAGATTCAGGAGCTACAG